ACTGTCCCTCCTCTGGACGTGTCCAAACCACTGTCCCTCCTCTGGACGTGTCCAAACCACTGTCCCTCCTCTGGACATGTCCAAACCACTGTCCCTCCTCTGGACATGTCCACACCATCTCAGTGTGTCCTCTCTAACTTCATCTCCCAGGTGTTCAACCTGTGCTGTACCTCTGATGATCTCATTCCTGATCTTCTCCATCCTTGTCTCTCCTAAGAAGAACCTCAACATCTTCATTTCTGACACTTCCAGTTCTGTCTCCTGTCTTTTTGTCCATGTCTCTGTCTCCAGACCAGACAACATAGCTGGTCTCACCACTGTCTTGTAAACTTTTCCTTTGATATTTGCTGACACCCTTTTGTCACAAACCATATTTCATATTTTCATCATAATCCTTATAATGCATTTTAAATTATAATTTTTAGATGATTGAGAACCACCATATTATTTAAAATCCAACATTTTATTGTTTATTATAACTAAAATTATTAAAACTGAGAAAATTATTTGTATCTATGAGTATCTGGGGATGAATTGGCCACACTTTGTGGTTCTGTTAGGATACATTCAGAAACCTAGACCCAAATTTACAGAAACATTCATCTAAAAGTTTTATTGAAAACAAATTTTCTCGCCTTTTAACTGAGAAGCTGCCAGTTCTGAAGAGATCCAAACTTTATTTTCTAGAGTCATAAAGCAGGAAGTCCTTCACAGTTAGATTTTAGGAGGAGCTGCACCTGTCTTGTCTGTGAGCAGGTACACGATTCGGCCCAGTTCCTCCGGGATGGTGCTGGTTCTGACGACGGTGCCGGGGATGTTCTCGTCCTTCATGATCATCCAGCCGTACGCCGACTTCCCCATGTCCAGGTTGACACGCAGGCTGAAAACAGGCGGAATAAACGACGGCTCATTTAGGTTCTGACATCAAACGTTCGGCTCGTTTAGGTTCTGACACCAAATGTTCTGCTCGTGTAGGTTCTGACACCAAACCTTCAGCTCGTTTAGGTTCTGACATCAAACGTTCGGCTTGTTTAGGTTCTGATACCAAACATTTGGCTCATTTAGGTTCTGACATCAAACGTTTGGCTTGTTTGGCTCAGATCTGTAAAATTATTAAATTAAATCAAATTTTCATAAAAACGCACCTGATGGGGATGATGTAGGAGAAAAGCACAACAAATCTGAAAAGGTTGCGGTACCAAGGACCCACAAACCCATGCAGTGCCACCATGACGACAGACAGAACCACCTGGGCCAGGAACAGAGCTTTGGTGAGGCGGTTCAGCTCCAGGTCCAGAAGACCGATCTGCAGGGAGCAAAGATCAAAGGTCAATGCAAAGGATCCAGTTTATAAAAATGATTCAGAACCCATCTGACGGATTGGTCCATCCCTGAAAATCATTTTGAGAACTTATCGGCTTCGGAAACTTCACACGCCAAGATCTGTTAGAGCTTAAAGTAGAAATCTGGGATGACTCTCAGCTACTACCATACCACCGTTCAAGTTCAACATTTGGAAAATGACTTGCAGCCATTTTCTGTGCTTTTGAAGGTCAGGTGGCTGTGGTGGCCATCTTGAATTGGGTTGGCTCCACAAGTTAACCAGCTATTGATGTTCGTCCAATAATAAACAATCTCTTCAGTGGTTCAGATGATGTTTTATTAACAGACAGTCCAATCCAGAGTTTTAGGAAAGGATCTGACTCGATCACTTAGCCCTCTGAGTGTGTGTTGGGGATCAGTCTCAGCTACGGCCAGACCAGATTTTAGGTGAGTATATTTAAAATTCACCGAGTTGCATCTACCAATGTTTGTGTGGTGGCCATCTTGAACTGAAATACTCCAAAGATTAACAAGTTTTAGATACATCTAATGATCACTTTGAAAGAAGTAGCCCCACGTTGGGTGCCAAAATGAAGTGGCTTATCCTTTACAAAAAGTGATAATGGAAAAAAAAAAAAAAAAAACTAGACTATGATGTGACAGTAAATAGAATGACAAGGCATCCTGGTCTTTCCTGAGTAGATCTCACCTGTAGGCCACGCTCAGACCAGTTGGGGTTCGTAGGTGTATTTCAGCAGGTTTGAAAGTTATGACCAACATTTCCAAACACCCCCCACAGCAAGAGTTCCGGTTGTTCAAGAAATATTATCTGTGCTGCTGATTAATGACTGCTGGTTGGCAGACGTGCACGGCTGAATAAAGGAGGCAGAAGGTCGGAGCTGAGGGGGTGTTTGTCATTTCAAGGTGATCAAAGTGCATTAAATGCTTCCCCAGCTTCTTCCTGCATTGGACCCTGCACTGACATGTCGGATATTTTGTGATCTCATCTGTTTGGGTCGTTGGCCACGTGCATCCGCTGAGTTCAGCGGCTGAATGAACGTCCATCTGGGCAATGAATCGCTGGCAGTAGTCCATCCGAAGCTTAACTGAACTTTTTACCTCTTTCAAGGCCGGTCAGCTCATGGTGAAATGGCCACATGTGGCAGGTGATAGTATGGCAAGCCATGTTGCCATATAATTGGATTGTCAGCCGCCCGTGTCCGCTGACACAATCAAAAGCCCAACACCAACCCAGCCTGCACATTAAGCACATTATTATGGGCCAGCCCAGTCTGAATCCGGGTCGGGTGGGGCCGGGCTCCAGGTTCAAGTTAGAAATGATAGCTCTACCGAAGATCAAAAAGCCTTAAAATGGAGAAGGTTTCCATATTGAGCAGGACGGGGGACAGGATGGAGTACAGGACTGTCCTTATGTCTGGAGTGTCCCTCATAGCCAATGGAGCATGTGGGAAAAAGATGTCAATTAAAGACGTGCCCGTCCCTCTCTGGCAGCGAAGCCTCACACACAGAGGGCTTTCATGTGACGCACCACGCTTACAAAAACAGCACATCACCCCCCAACCTCCCCACCATCACCCAGATAAAGGGGGGGGGGGGGGGGCAGCAAAGATTCTTCTACTGCTTCAACCCCCACCTTAAACCCTCCACTCCTTTACAGCCCCACTATGGTTCATGGTTGAGCAATTGAGAAAAATAGTGGGTTTGGTTGGATTAAAATGAAGAAAAATTAAGCCTGAGAACACGGAGCGGGCCTGAAAAGCACAGGATCCCCTTGTGCTGGAACAATGGTCGCTCTACGCTTTCCATGGATCAGATGAAGTCATTATTCATTCAGTCACGGAAGCAAAAAGGACTCAATTACCTCGACTTAAAGATGCTATCAGGGAATAAAAGTGCAGATTTTCCTCTATTCATCTGTGAACCATTAAAACTCAAAGGAAGGGCTAGATGTGCCGTGCTTGGACCGTCACGTGGGTGAAATCTGATAAAGAGTTCAGAATACTCATCAAATTAAAACTATCCAGACGGTCGGTGTCATTTAAACGTCTGGTTATTTGGGAAACAACGTTTTCTCACCGTACTGTCAAGTCCGAGCACGTTTACAGAATTTTCCATCACTTCATTCTGGTGATGTTCCTAAGAAGTTTGTCTAAGCTCCAAATGAGTTTAGTTCAAAGTTCTTTAATGTCATTCGCATCACATGTGGTACATGAGGTGGAATGAAACTGTGTACTCAAGGTCCCAGTTACACCAAAATAGCAAAAATATAAAGTATAAAAAAGAAACAGTATACAAGGATCTAAGATATACACTAAACAATAATAATGTAAAATAATATGGTGTATTAAACAGCAGCCTGAACATGAGTCTGTAGTGAGCAGATGGGTATGAATATAGCAGCATAAAGGCAAGCGATCAGCAGCACAGATAATCAGCAGCACAGATAAGTCATGTCACCAGTTAAAGTGGCATCACAGTGATTATTCTAGTTAGAGATTCATGAGTCTAACAGCCTCAGGGTAGAAGCTGTTCCTCAGTCTAGTGGTTCTACACTTAATGCTCCTCAACCTCCTTCCTGAGGGGAGTGGGGCAAAAGTTCCTCATCACATGAAATCAGACGGTAATTTGCCCAAAATAACCAAAACTCTTCTGCAGAAAGCTGAGAAATAAACACCGAGAGCAACAAAGATTAAAAAAAGTTACTAAACCAAAAGTAAAATCTGCATCCTGTAACAAAACCTTCAAACAAAAGTACCACATGTGGCACATTAAACGTTTTAGTACATTGTTTAACTTTGACCTTGATTTGTGACCTTCACCATGGAGTTGGGGAGATGAAAAGTGCACGTGACGCTCCGTCTGGTGACGTGTAAGTTCCAGGACAGGAGGAAGTTTACGGACAGATGGAGACTGTACTGCGATACGTCCGCCTTCGACGGGAATCTAAAAACTGTGAGTGACGATCAAATATTCAGTTATTTGTTTGTTTGTTTGTTTGTTTGTTTGTTGAAGGCCGACTGTCGGCTTCTTGAACCGTTTTTAATGAAACTTTTATAAATCTACTCCATTCGAGCTCCAGAGACAGTTAAAGCTAGCACAGCAGACATGAGGACACTGTCAGAGCGTCCACCGACACAGACCGAGACCACGTCAAACGTCCGGTCCAATCGATCCGGAGCGGCCTCGTCCTCGTCGCTGTCACGACAGATTACATGTGGCCGAAACGTTCCTGAGACTTCAGCTGCACCGTATCGACCTCCTGCAGCCTCCACTCTCCGTATCGGCACTTCTGACATCCTCTTATTAAAATATTGAGCGCCTCGCAGCTGTCGAGCTTCACGAAACACCGGGCTGCCGCTGGACGGGCCGGACCAAGGTTCTGAATAAAACCCAGAGGGGACAAAACGCTGCTGCGGTCAGGAGAAGCCAGAGATCGTCCCGTTTGCTGCTGTAACCTGCGAGTTCACCCCGACCGAGAACGTCTCGAGTGTCAACAGGTTCGTTGTCAGAGCGGACTCTAAAGTACGAGAAGGATTCGACTCTGAAACTTTGGTTTGGTTTAAAACGTGGAAATAACCCCTGAAGCTGATCTGAGCCTCCACCCTCAGACGCATGACCTCCTGCAGGAGCACAAGTCTTCACCTTGTTCTTGGCGGAGGACGTGTTCAGGACGCTCCGGGTCTCTTTGCCCGTGTAGATCACCACCCCGATCACGGTTCCTGCCAAACACAGAGACAAAGGAGGTGATGCAGCTGATTAACTGACCCCCCCACCTGGCTCCACACAGACCAGCAGCCTGCCTGGTGAAGATCGACCACCAGCTGAACACGTGAAGACCGAGCTCTTTAACCAGAAGATCATCAGGTCCGATCAATACTGACGGTCGGCTGCAGCGACTGTGAGGAGCATCGACGACTCGTCAATATTAACGGAGCTTAATGAGACAAAGACCAACATGTAACAGTTATAAATGAGGAGGTGAGGAGGAGCGCTGAGAGGAGGAGCGCTGAGAGGAGGAGCACTGAGGAGGAGAACTGAGGAGGAGCACTGAGGAGAACTGAGAGGAGGAGCATCAACGAC